CTTAACAAATAAATATGAAGTACTCTCTCCTAGAGAAAAAGAAAGATGGATTAAGTTTGGACCAAGCTGGAGTTTGACCACTTTTGTACTTATCACTTGGGGAATTAAGAATCTTTTCATTATAAATTGTGAAGTTGTATTATAGTATACGATAATTGTTTCGTGCACACGTAGTGGGTATATCGCAAGGATTATATTGACGCAGATGTTAACGAGATGATTTAATTATCAACAATAATTTAAATTATTACGAATAAATAATTATTTTGAGACGTTTGACTATAGAGGAGCCTGATGTACCATTTTGCTGACCATCCATGCACATTAACATTATAGCCCTCCAAATATTGTAAAAAAAATACACTTCGTTTCTAGAAAAAGAGGATGCAATGGACTCTTTCTATGAACACATTAAAAGAAATTTGTGAATTAAACAACATAAATCATGAAGAAAGTATGATTTGGACTCTTGTGGACTTGTTATAATTCATGTTCTATAAGATAATATTTAGAAATAATTTGCAAAGTAAATAGTTCTTTGAGGATTTTTATCTATATACTAAAGCTATTGGGGTTAGTACTGTAGCTTAGCAATATTCATTTTACGGTATACCCCAATAGCTTATTGTTAAAAGAGACAATAGGTAATTTTTGTTTACAAACACAATATTCAACCTAATTTGCTTATAAGTCGACCACTTTAAAAATCCATCTTAAGTACATAATGCTCAGCGGGTTTAAAATTTTTCTCAGCTCCCCAACATCAATTCAATGTAGTTAATAATAATAATAATAATAATAATATAATTATTTTATCTATAAATGCAATAATTTAACATAATTTACTTTTAAGTCCACCCACTTTGAAAATTTAATCATAAACCTGAAAAACTCCATCAACTCTAATAATACAATACAATAATATAATGAATGACCATATAAAGAGTTTTTTCCCCTATAAACCCAAAATTCCCTAATTTATTCTTAAATTCACTCACTTCATAATCAGTCTTTGATGTAAAATACTCTAATGAATTACTTTTAAACTTAATTTATATTTCATAAATTTGTTATATCATAAGTTGTAATTGTAGATTGATTAGTTAGCTATAAATCTTATCCTTATTTACTTTCAAACATACCCATTACAAGGATGTTTTTAATTATAAATCTAAAGTATTAAATCTATTTATTTTTAAACTACACAGCTCGAAACTCAATCTTAGAGTAAAAAAAACTACACCAATCTATTTTTAAACACAATTTGTGACGATTTGTACATATGGTTTAAGTTGTTATATTCCACTTTGACTTGGTATATTTTTTCTAAGAATCTGGGTGCGCATTATTTTAGACCAAATGATTAACTATTATTTCGGATTTTTTTCATATTCACTAGTAAAAAAGAGGGCATTGGCGACGAGGTATTGGTGACGGATATCGAATCTGTCGCTAATACAAACATTGGCGACGAGAACAATCCCGTCGCCAATAACCCGTCATCAATGTTTGTATTTGCAATGGGTGTTGGTCGTCGCCAATGTTTTCCCGTCACCAATGCTCATGTGGGCGGACGCTAACAATCGTGGGCAAACAGCGGCTGTACGCCAATATGTATTGGCGACCGCTAACTACGTCGGCCATAGGTAGTTGCGGCCGAGACGAGTACTCGCGGTACACGTCGACAATGCACAATTGGAGACCGGGTACTGACTCGTCGCCAATACTTATTGTTGACGAAAGTTGGTCGTCACCAATACTTATTGACGACGAGTGTTGTCCGTCGCTAATACTTATTGGCGACGGATGCAGGCCGTCACCAATATTTAGCCGTCGCCAATGAGCATTGGCAACGCCTTTATTCCGTCACCAATGCACATTAGCGACGGATCAGTGTCCGTCGCCAAAAACATTAGTGACTGATTATCTCGTTGTCAATGAGTAGCCCACACAAAAAATTAAGGGTTATTTTAATATTAGTCTCTCAAATCTTCAATATTTCAAAAGTAGTCTAATAAATTATGGAAATTGCTAACACATCTAGGGGTGGAAATGTACCAAATAATTAACAAATAGTTCGATAATTGTTCGAATAACTATTCAGTTATATTTGATTCGATAGTTTATTTAACACTAAACAAATATTTTGTAGTATTCAAGTTTGCTAACGATTAGAATTTGACCAGATGTATATCCAATTCATTTATCTGTTAAATATTCGTTTAAAATTGATCACATGTTATTATTTGTTTATTACATATATGATGTCGTATTTTTAACCACTTATCATTTCTACTTAAGTTTTATATATCGATTTTAAGACTTAAATAATCTTAAATCTGTTTCTAATTAAATTTTGATTTAAATATATACACATCATATAGTATAAAGGAATAATTTATAGTTATGAATTTTAATACTACTTAGGGTGCGTTTCGAAATCATGGTGTTTTCTCTATTTCCATGGTGTTTTTATCAAAATAAAAACACCATGTGTTTGGTAACCATGATGTTTTTATGATAAAAATACCCAAAAACAACAAACACCACACTTATTTGAAAACACCTTTTAGGTGTTTTGAGTTTTGCATGGTCTTTTGAGTTTGGGTAGGATATTAACATAATAGCTAAATATAATCTATAATATTATAAATGATAATTTGTTAGTAATATGATACTAAATATTATATATTATTATATTATATAAATAATAATATAGTATACTAAATTATACTAAATATAATATAATATATTTAATATAAATAATATTTTACTTTTATAGTATTAAAAAATATGTTTAATATATTCAAACATGTTTAATAAAATAGTATAAAATTACTATAATATTACATATTTACTAAAATAGTATATAAGTATATATAGTTTACTAATATATATAATAATAATATACTAAAATAATACAATATAATTAACTATATTAAATCAAAATTGTAATACAATAAAATTTAATATTATGAAAAATTTAGATATTATATTAAATTAAATTACAGAATAAACATTATAATATAATATTGTTTATTATAATATATAAATAATATAATTTATATAATTTTATAAATGATTATTTGTTTAATAATATAATGCTCGATCTATTATATATTATTATATTGTAAAAATATTAATATAATATTTTTATGGTAAATATCAGTATAAACATATTAAATTATGTTAAATATATTTATATTATATTATAAAATATTATTTTAATTTTAATGGCTCGAATCTATTATATATTATTATATTGTAGAAATAGTTAATATAATATTTTATCTAAATATTAGTATAACATATTAAATTATGTTAATATATTATATTATATTATAAATAATTTTTTAATATGTTTAATATTTGAATTAGAGTATAGTTCAAGATGATGTATAATATATTAATTTTATATATTACATTAATATGTTTTATTATATTGATGAAAAATAAAATATAATATAAAAATTATAAAACAAAAATAAAATATATATTAGATTACTATATAATATTAAATTAATATAATATAATAAAATTACTATTATAATAAATTTAGATATCATAGTAAATTGTAAAATATAGTTAAAAATATAAAATATTAACCAATAAATAGTTTTCTACTTTATTCAATATAACATATTATATTAGCATATTTTATGTTAAATTAGTATTACATAATAAAAGTGTTAAATTATAATGAAGTCAATTTATTATATTATATTATAATATTAAACTAAAGTATGACGTATATTGATGTAACATAATACAATATATAATATATATAATATACAAAAATATATTATACTATTAAAAATAATATAATAAACATAATATAATATAATAAATAATTATATTAATTAATATATATATCTTATATTAGTCTATATTATAATATACAGTTAATATAATATAATATAGTATATTAGTTAATATAAAATATATTATAAGATATATGTTATATTTCATATATGATATTTTTATAGTATAATATATGTGTATGGAAATGGTTGAACTAGTATTGATCAAGAAATTCAAAATTGTGTTTTTAAAAACACTTTGGAATGACATGGTATTTCTTTAGAAGAACACCACAAAAAACTCACAATGGTATTCAAACACACTCTTAAATTCTTTATCGGAATAAATATACTTTGATATTCAATAAGTATTTGTGAGTTTTTGGCTTCGACTTTGATTAGTTTAGAGAAAATAATGAGAAAAGTGAAAATGATGAGAAAATGGTGAGAGACCAATGAGGAGATCATTTTTAGTTATGTGTGTTAAGAATATGTAACCATGTTTATCTTGCTAATGATATACCGGAACTTATCATAGCTCTTTTCAATTAATTAGGAATTCTATGTTAATTAAAAAATTTCTTTCACTCTATATGCTAGTAGATTCGATGACCTCCACTGCTCTGGACTCATTTACATATGAACTTGAGCCTGCAAACATCATTAATGAATTTGAGAGGAGCTAAATGAGATTTAATCACTAATGGACTTGGGTTTTCACGTTTTAACAGATCAATTGGGTCCAAACGAGTTGGATTTTTAATGGGTCCAGTTTCTTATGATTAAAAGTCAAGAAAAACTGGTAATAATAGTTATATTTAAAGGAATATTTCTTTAAATCTAACCGATGTTAATCGGGAACCTAATTGTAAACATTATGATGATTTGAGTGGTGTAATAAAAATTTCCATGATTTGAGTGACTAACTTTGAAATATTGAAGATTTGAGGGACTAATTTGGAAATATTGAAGATTTGAGGGTTGCAATAGCAATTCACTTAAATGACCTAATTTTAACTCTAATTACACAAAAATCCAATATTACCCTAATCCTAATCTTAATATCATAATAATCCAACAATAATTCAAGGATGTAAAAGGATGTTTTTGGGCCTAAAAAAAATGGCGGGAGAATTCCCCACTAATTTTTTTGCCCAAAACAAATTTACAAATATTCTCTCTCCATTCACTCAGCCCCTTCATCCAGTCCTAATGGAAACCCATCCTCAAATGCTCAGCGCCACCTCCGTCTACTCTCTCTCTGCCTCCGTCCCTTGGTTCAGCCACCTCCTCGCCCGACCCGAACCTGATAAGCTAATCACCGAGGGTTTGACCCTTGCAGCGCTAGCTTACGCTAAGTCTTTGATGAGTTATCTTCAGCAGGCGTTTCTTTAGGAGGCAGCATTGGGGATGGCGTACAAGGTTAGGGTTTATGTTTTTGGCAGAGTGATCAAGAGGGATTTAGGGTTATTTGAAGGGAATGATGGTGTTTTGGCTGGGGGTGTTGCGCATCGGATCACGGCGGAGGCGGCAGATGTTGCCGATACGACTTATGCTCTCTTGAACGTAGGCAATCAGTCATCATACTTGTTGGCATATGTAAAGATGTTATCTTAATTAGAACCCTGAATTTGATAGTCATACGGTTTGGCTTTGAGAATTTGCTAGTGTTTCAAAGCTCAAATCTTTATTTTTATTGCATTTATAGTCTACTTTGTTGTTTGTATTGGCTAATGTGGAATGTTCGTAGTTTAATTATCAGGAGTTGACGAGTAATCGACTCTTCAACAAATTTTCTTAAAAAGATAGTGATTAGTTTTGATCCATTCGCTCATTAAGTACTATGAGAATTATCTATAATTGGTTACTGGTGCTGCTCATTATTAATGAGGTCATGCTTTGCTATTATCCTTGTTTTTCATGGTTGATTGTGTGCACTCTAGAATACCCATTAGATAGATTCAAGCTTGATTTTCCTTTTAATTTCTTCTGAACTTTCAGTAGAGTTGTAGACAAGTCATTTACAAATGGTAAATTTTTTTTCATGTGAATTACACTAGGGAGTTACTTGATCTTTTTTCCCTACTTATTCCTGTGTAAAAATGACTGCATATTGTGGTACCCAATACCCTATAGCTTTTGGCGATGGCTTCTCAAATGGTAGCGCTTAGCCCCGTACTTTCCTTAATGTCAGCATTGGTGAGTTGAGAGAATTTGAGTCTTTTACTTTTGAATTTATATAGAATTTGAGTCTTTCATTTTTGAATTTATATAGTTTTATGAATCCAATGATATCTTGATATTGTGTTTACAACTTCTTCCTTGTGTATCATTTGTCATTGCATATCTTGGTGAAAGGCTCTGCAAAATATCCAAGAATGCGCAGTCAAGTGCTTCTAGACTATCCGCCTCCTTAAATGAGGTGAGCCTAGATTATTGCATGTACTATAAAATTATCTTCTAATGTTATGTTTCTTCCTTAGAGTTATTCTCATATCAAGTCTCACATAAGGAACATTAATGGGTTGATATGTAGTTTCATGTTTTAGGTACTTCCATCAATACTTGTTGTAAAGGCCAACAATGGAGAGTTTAGTGAGTGCTCACGATTCCAGAGGCAAGCTCTAGATGATTTGGTACAAAGGTTGAAGAAGCGGAAAATGAAGGCACTCATACCTCTGATTGTCCAGGTCATAAGATGATTTGGTACAAAGGTTGAAGAAGCGGAAAATGAAGGCACTCATACCTCTGATTGTCCAGGTCATATGTATAGGTGGATTGATACTCCTTTGTGCGGAAAATGAAGGCACTCATACCTCTGATTGTCCAGGTCATATGTATAGGTGGATTGATACTCCTTTGTGTTGGTTCATTGATTATCTCAAGAAATTCCTCAGACACTTCGAGTTTAGTGTCATTTATAACGTCCCTAAACCTCTTGGTTGAGCCTCTTCAGGTAACTTATCTATTCCTGCTTAAAGCATATATTATGTATTAAAGAATTTCAATCTTTAACGAAATGTTCCTATTTAGCTGCGATTACTAATAGTTTTGGTTCGTCAAATGAATATTCTTAAATTAAGAAATGCGTACAGCTGAAGGGGCAAATAAACAATTTGTGTCATCATGTGAAAAACAAAATCTGAAAACATTATTGAGGTGCACGACAAAATGAACAGATTTTTTAGGTTCATACCAATGTTTTCTTGAATTCCTTATTAGCTTTTAGAGATGATTTGCTTCCGCAGCCTATATACGTGGATATCATGGGGATGACATTTGATGAGCATGCAGCTGCAAGTGGTGGAGAGGTATATATGTCATATTATATATGTATTTATTATGAATATTTTAAAATATATTCTCATATTGATTTACATTCTTTTCAGGGTAGAAGAGGTACTGTAGGAAGCAGCGGTACGGTATGACATTTTGATGCAGCTGCCGCCAACGATAGGGATCACGATGATAGGGACCAAGATGACTACGACGAATGAGTAGTGAGTTAGACTTTTTTGTTACTTTTATGGAAAATGAATCAATGAATGATGAATGTGATTATTGTTGGATGTGAATTAATGAATGTGAATATTGTTGGATGTGAATTGATGAATGTATGAATATTGTTGGATGTGAATCGATGAATGTGAATATTGTTGAATATTTTATAAATATTGGTAGCAACAGGTATATATTCCTGCTTGGGGGGGCTCAAAAAGTATCAATTTTTTTTTTGAATTACATTCATTAGCGACAGAAAGGTCCGTCACTAATGAACATTGGCGATGGGGAATTTCGTCGCCAATATACATACATTGGCGACGGCGGCAGTCGTCGGCCAATAAAGCATTGGCAACGGGAAGCCCCCCCGCCCTCCCGCTCCGTCACCAATAAGCCATTGGGGACGACAGATAATTGCCAATGCTTATTGGCGACGGGGGGCTTCTCATCGCCAATAAACATTAGCGACAGGCTAGTTTGCCATGCGCCAATGCATTTTGTGACGTACGGAGGACCCGTCGCCATTGTTATCCGTCGCCATTGTTATCCGTCGCCAATGCTTCTCTGTCGCCAATGAGCATTAGTGACGGATATTCCCGTCACCAATTTGCATTAGCGAGGGGATTATTGGCCACAGACTATCGAGCGTCACGAATGTGCATTCGTGACGGATGTGACTGCATTGGCTACGGATTTCCTCGTCGCCAATGCTCTGATTTCTACTAGTGATTGTTGCAATGTCGCAAATGGTAGATGAGTTTTTCCCTATAAGTTCAAGGTTATATATATGCTCTTTTATATTTAAAGTCAACCACTTTGCAAAGATTTTTATTCTAAATCAAAAGTATTCTGACAATTTTCTATCCATGTAAGTTGTTATATTTTATTTTAACATATAAAATTTTGTTCTAAGTGAGTAGGTAGAGTAGAGATTTTATTAGAACAACCTATCTAAGAGGGTAGTCTATACCACTCATGGGTGGTTAAATGGTTAGTTTGTGACTTATGGTTATTCTATTACTGTTGTAAACTAGCTACCCCACTTTTATATGAGTGGTTTTCATAGAAATCCTACTGTTTTAATATACGATGTATTTCATAAATCAAATCCTTAATAGTGTTGCATTTTTTCCATGCTAATGAGGCGGTATCGAAAATATATTTTCTATATAAACTCAAAATTTTAACGCAATGCCTTTTAAACTTACTTTCAAAAAGGAGTTCTTGTGTATATGTCCAAAATCTTACCTTAATTTATTATTAAAGTCACTCATCTCCAAGATCACTCTTGAGATCCAAAATACTCATTCGAACAAAACCTTAAACTCACTTTACATTTTCACCAGCTCATCCTATGTGAGTTTCTATATTTTGTTAGAACCTTGTACATTTTTATTCTAAATCCAAAGTCATACTATTTATTTTTAAACTCACTCGTTTCCAAAGCTACTCTTAAACACAAAATGTTCAACATTATTTTTAAATCTATTTTGTATTTCAACAGTTTGGTATACATTGTGAGTTATTACATTTTTGTTTTAAGTGGTCAGCTACAGTGTTATTTTTAACTAAATATTTAATCCATAATTTTTTTGTAGTTTTGCGCTTCTAATTCCAAAGGTCCCCTCTATTTTTTGAACTCACTCATATCCATAGTTATTTTTTCTAAATGGTTCAGTGTACTGTGTAGCTAAATGTCATAACCATTATATTTTACCTTTTTCCATGTTAACGTCGCAGCATAGTAAACAATAGATGTGTTTTTTTCTTTATTTTTTTAAGCTCACTATTGTATGTTAGTAGTTTTGTATCATTGCAAGATGATATATCTTGCTTTAACTTGCTATTTAACTCAAAGTATTAGGTGTACAATATATTTTTAGGCCAAATACTTAAACTATATTTTTAATTATTTTCACACAGATGCTAGGAAACGCGTGGATCAATTTTGCTCGTTTGTTTCTACTACGTTGGCTTCTTTTCCTGCTCTTTTTTTTTCTGGGCCAGTTTCTTTCTAAGCTTCTGTATTCATTTTAGTATGATGCTGCAACTTGACGACCTTTCTTGGAGAATAGACAAAAAAAGGGACGTTTATACCCTTAAAAAGTTTTCAATTTTTTGCACAGACCAGAGTTTTTCAAACTACGATTTGTCTCTTAATAGGAAAAATATGATTTGATAAATAGGAATTTTTTAAAATAGCCCCAAAAAGTTTTTTATTTTTCAAAATCGACTCATTTCTTTTATTTATCAAAATCGACCCACTTTTTGCCACGTGGGCATAATGACGTTCCTAAACAGTCGGGGTTGCCAACCCCTACTGTTTAGGACATGAAAATTTTGGATTTAAGGGTTCTACTTGGGGTATTCAACCCCGACTGTTTAGGACATGAAAATTTTGGGTTTAAGGGTTCTAATTGGGATTTAATACCCTCCTAAACAGTCGGGGTTGTCAACCCCGACTGTTTAGGAACTTCATTAAGCTCACGTGGCAAAAAGTGAGTCGATTTTGATAAATAAAAAAAAATTGGGTCAATTTTGAAAAATAAAAATCTTTTTGGGGCTGTTTTGAAAATTTGTTCTTTGATAAATCTTATTACTTTGTCTTAAATAATTGAAATCACCGGTAGCCATGTTAAGCCTACAGCTTGAAAGATGGAGCTGGGCCTCATTCTAGTTTACGCCCATCTCATACTATCATGGAAACCCAGTTCATATTTTGCGGTATCCATGAAACCGCATGTAACTTCCTCATTTATTCGCATTTAATCACCGGTAGCCATGCCCATCTTGTAAGTTTTAAGGGGCTTATATAATGGGTATGTGTCTCGGGTCAAGCTAAAGCCCATTTTGTTGTTAAATTTTCAAAAAAAAAACCATCTGTTCAAAAACATTATTATTTTCCTAAGAAAGAAATTATTTTTGGATAAATGAAAAGGTTGAGTTTCATTTTCAAACAAAATTCCTTGTTGATATGGAGCAACCATGCTTCTAATAGGCACAAAAATTCTGTTCAACTTTCTTGACTTTTTCATTTGGATAAATTTTTATTTTCGACCTTTTTCAAAACTTAATTATCAAATTCGACCTACTTTGCACTTATTTATCAATTTCAACCCAGTTTTAGCCACCTGGCTAAAACTAGGTCAAATTGAGAAATAAGTGCAAAAAACTATATGGGATTGAGAATCCAGTGTAGTCTAGCAGACTATTAAACTACGCAGGATTCTCAATCTCGTGTAGTTTAGAATTAGACTAAACTCCACGGGATTGTGAATCTGTGTTGTTTATTATACAGAATTCACAAATCCCGTGTAGTTGGCTAAATGGTTAGAACATTAATGTACACATTGTTAAAAGGTCATGGGTTTGAATCCTAGCCAAGTAATGTTTTTTTTATGTTTAGGGAACTCAATATACAATTTTGACGCAGCGCGGAAGTTGTAACCTCGGAATCCACCAAGGGTGTTCTCTGAATCCACAAAGAACGATCTTCGAATCCACGAAGAGCTTCGAATCCACGAAGAAATATTGAGGAAAAAAAATTTATTAATCAAAAGTTATGCCTTTAGGGCTTACAAGACTCTTCTTAAATAGAAAAAGAAACAAGACTCCTACAAGGACTCTAATTCCTACAAGGACTCTGAACTTACCAAAAATAGTAAAGAATTCCTAAAACATTAAAACTCCTAAAAAGAATCCTTATGAATAGGAAAGTCCACCGGTCAAATCTGAGATCAAATCGGATTTGTTTCCTAAACAAAACAGACTCCTAAATTATTACTAAAAATAGTAAAAACGGACAAAATTGTAATTATCTCTCAAACCGTAAGGAATTTGGCAAAACTGAGAACGCAAACCAAACTTTGGGGGTCGGTTTGGATGGCTCCGTCTCGTCGAGATAGTTGATTTTCATATATAATTCGTCCAATTCCGACGTACGGTTTGAAAGTTACGGCCGTTTCTTCGAAACAAGTTATTTTCTTCGACCAGGCCCGCATTTGCGACTGTCCCACTTTGACATAAACATGTCTGCTGTGTGTTCTACATCAGTCCCCCCTGCTTGAAAAGAGATCGACCCCGAGCTTACACTTGCATGAACAGCTGTTTCTGGTGGGTAATACTCAAACAAATCTGCAACATTAAAACTAGGAGAAATACCCAAATTTGTAGGAAGGTCAACCACATAAGCATTGTCGTTAATCTTCTTCAGTATCTTGCATGGACCATACTTCTTATTCTTTAGTTTGTTGTAGGTGCCCACAGGAAAACGTTCTTTTCTCAAAAACACCATCACCATGTCTCCCTCTTCAAACACCTTCTTCCTCCTGTGTTGATCAGCATCGACTTTATACTTAGCATTAGACTGCTCTATCTTCTCCTTCACCTCCTGCGGAATAGCACGTATCTGCACGTATCTTTTCAACCATATGATCTGCAGGAACACTCTGTCCAGGAAGTTTAGGCAGCGGGGCTAGATCAAGATAGTGATTCGGAAGCCTTCCATACACAATTGTAAAGGGTGCCTTGCCTGTAGTCCGACTCTCCATACAGTTGTAGGCAAATTCAGCATGTGCCAAAGCAAGATCCCACTGTTTTGGTCGTTCGCCAGAAATATATCTAAGAAGATTGCCGAGGGTGCGATTGACCACTTCAGTTTGGCCATCCGTTTGGGGGTGATAGGCAGTACTGAACTTGAGAGAAGTGTTGAATCTCTGCCACAAAGTCTTCCAAAAGTGTGATAAGAACTTGGAATCTCTATCGGATGTGATGGATTTTGGCACTCCATGAAGACGAACTATCTCCCAAAAGAAAAGATTGGCAATGTTGCTCACATCCGCAGTCTTCTTGCATGGAATAAAGTGCGCCATCTTCGAAAACCTATCAACCACAACAAAAATAGAATCCATACCTCGTTGGGTTCTAGGCAGCCCCAACACAAAGTCCATGGAAATATCATGCCACGACGCATCAGGAACTGGTAAGGGTGTATATAATCCTGTATTTTGAGACTGTCCCTTAGC